CAGGGTTCAATTTTATCCTCCCCCCCAGCCCTCACTTTTTATTACGCATTTTAATCACAATTTGCTTGGATTCAGCTGATAGTTTCTGAGGGCTTCATCCTTCTCTCTTTTGCTAAACTTAGCTACACTTTAAGCAAAGAGATGTTACTTGAACCCTACTTGAAGTAAAAGGTACAATTAATAACAAGAAAATTCAATTACTGAACATCTACCAGTGACGAAGTGCTGTAGAAAATGTTTTGATCTGAACAAAACTCTTCATCCTGTGCAAACTGAAATATTGCCTGATATCAAGGGCTTTCCATACGCAAGTGGAAACAAATGTAATTATGATAGGCAGAAAGGAAAAATCAATGTTTTGCTTTGAAAATTAGCCTTTTCTCGGTTGTTTTTTCTGGCTGAGACAGCCTGACGAGACTTTATGAAATATTTTGATCCGCTTGAAATTGTCTCTCTTTTTTTTTTTTTTTCTTTTTAACCAAAAGGATGTATTTTTGGCTGAAAATTTTTACTGTATCCAGAAAGGGAAATCATTCTGTCTTGGGTATTGTAAAAAGCCCCGTGTTTCATTGGCTTTTAATGGAACCTTAATAGTAGTTGGCAGCGTAGATGATGAAGCTGGAAGGTTGCAGTGAAATTAATATAATCAGAAGTTGTTCTGAGGCTCACAACCATGAGAAAGCTCTCAAAGCTCATAACTATTCACCCAGCCATAAAAGTGGCTGATCTCATTTCTTCCTATCCGGACCCATCCTTGGGAGAACAGCTCATGACTTCAAGAAACCCATGAGGGACTGTGCTATTGCTATTGATTTTTGACAGAAGATGTGCAGATACTGCAGCAAGGAGGGGAAGGATCAGATTTGCAAAAAAGGAAGCCTGCTGAAATCTGGAAAAGCTCTTGCATCTGGGAAGGAGGGGATAAATTTTAATCAATGTCAATGTTTCCAGGCGATTTAGAAAAGCCTGACTATGCAGTAAGCTGTAATGACCTCTGGCAGACTTTTAATCTACATGCAGCATTATAACTTGCTTGTTTTATAAATGATGAACACTGCTTCCACGTCACTTGGAGCGGTTGCATCTGAGTGAGCTTGAAGCTGAAGTGAGACGTGGTATTGCTTAGAGGATTCCTTTATAGAGCCTAAAATGGAGTTGGGAGAAACATACCCAAAGGATAGGCTACCTGGGCTGATCCTTGTGGCTTTGGGGGGTGTGGTTTAGTGGGCATGGGGCTGATGAGTTGATGGTTGGACTGAGTGATCTTAGCGGTCTTTTCCAACCTTAATGATTCCATGTTCTCTTGTTCCTCTGTGTTGTTTATTTTTCTCTCTCACGTATTGCCATGATCTTTCTTTTCTCATCATCACTGCTGTATACTCAGAAAGTTTTTGGCTTTCATATTGGTTTGCTATTGTAGAACCTTTAATAAATGTTATTTCCTGGTAGTGAATGTGTGACTTGGTCCAGCGGGACCTGTTTGTAGCATAGTTTTCTATAATTACCCAAAATTTACACAGCAATTCCAGGCCTATTATATGGGGCATAGTATGTAATTACAGGCATAACATATTAGGTCCTAATAACAGCAAATATATCATTACACAAATCATTCATGTAACTGTGCTGATATTTTTATATGGAGTAAGTGAATACAATTACTAATAATTGCCATACACATCTTACAGCTGCAGAGTAACTGATGCCACTACAATACAGAGTAGGGCAGCAGCTGGGAAATTCCCAGGGAAATGCCTGTGAAACACTGCATCTGAAAGCCAAGGTGGATTTGGGTGCATATGTGTGTATTTGCAGTTAATATGACAATTTGGGAGGGATCCACGTTGTCTTGCTTAGATTTTGTGTCTCCTAGTTATGTGTGTGAGATGGTTCTCCATACCTGTAGAGCTTATGGAGGTGGTCCTCCAAGCTGTAGACAAAGAGAGTGAATCCTTCAAAAGCAGTAGCAAGCAAAGTTGGGCCATCAGGTCACCAAAGGGAGATGAGGGTCTCAGATTGGATATTAGGAAAAATTACTTCTAAGGAAGAGTGGTGATGCATTGGAGCAGGCTGCCCAGGGAGGTGGTGGAGACACCATCCATGGAGGTGTTCAAGAAAAGAGTAGATGTAGCACTGAGGGACATGGTTAGTGGGCATGGTGGGGATGGATTGAGGCTGGACTACATGATCTTAGCCATCTTTTCCAACCTTAAGAATTCTATGATTCATTGAGGAAGTCATGCATCCCACCTTCCACTTTCAAAGTGCTAGTCTTGGTTCACTCTGTGTAACAGCAGTTCTTTGAGCCTGTAGGGAAACTGTTAGTGCTGGCATCTGTCAGGCAGCACCCGTGTGCTGTCAGTTAATGACACAGATGTTTTATGTGGCTAATTGTGAGCCTCTGCATGCAGGTTTATGGGAGATTTGGGTTGATGCGTATGGCTTCATAGAGGAATTGGGCTGATGCACACAAGTTAGGGGATTGATTTAGGCATGGCTATCCTGGCACCCTGATATGCATCATTTCAACCCTTGGCAAGGAGAGCAGCTTGGTGGAGGACAGATGCAAAAAAACTCCATGCCAGTATTTCAACAAGCTCAAACGATGACTTCTGTTTCAACAGCTGCCTATTCATACCCACTGAATGGTTTAGACTGAAATCTTTTTTCTTCACTGATGGGTTAACTTCCTTTTTGGCTCTGTTTGCAACAGGCCATCAGCTCCTTTGATAACACTAATGTGGATTTGCAATGCTGAACCCCCATTTTGCACACCATCCAAGTCAATGGGAGTTTTGTTCACCTCTCCAAATTATCTCAGAGGAATGACAGACTCCATAGGCTGGAGTCTGCCTTAAGGCATGCTAAGGGGCATATGTCTAGGAGCCAGATCGTGGTGCTTGAGAATTATTATGTAAAAGCTATGCAGAAAAGCAGGGGATGTTAATTCAGGCACCACTCTGCAGTTATCAGCAGGATCTTGCTTGCATTTCATCGAGGTGCATTTTCACCTTGGTTTGGGCAGAGCTCTCCATGTCACCTTCCTGCCATCCTATTTCAGCATGGAAATACCCCAGTATGAGCAGGGACAATGAACTGGAGAGATGGGGGCCTACTCCAGCCTACCAAAGCAATTTTACCTCATCATGGAAGCACTGACAGGTCAACCTGCTCATGTATAGTTGAGCAGGTGCCCAGGTGAGTCCAGTGGGCTCTTGCTGAGTCTGGTGAGGTGTGATATGGTTGTGTCAGTCGCTTTCCTCCACACTTGGTCGTGTTCCCACACACCTGGGATTACACTGATGATGCCAGTGTTGATACCAGCATTGTGAACAACAACAAAAAAAACTATTAGAAATTGTGTGAAAGAGCCACTTCCATCAAAAAGGATTAGCATGAGTTTGCATCAGGATGAGGCCAAAATGATGACACCAACACACAAAAGAGCAGAGATGGAGCCATTTCATGTGCAAGTATGGTGGTCAGAGCTTCCAGTTGGGTAGACATAATCTCTCTGGGCCCACCCCATCTTGATTTTTGCCAGGACTTAGACTGGTTGTGGTGGTCCCACATTCCTGTGGGGACAAAAGCAGTGTGGCTGTTCTGATGGCTGTTGGTGTAATCTTGCCATCTGTGAACAGCAGGAAACCCTTGAATTAAAGAAGGATCTAGCATCACAGGCAAGCAGGCAGTGACTGCAATACCTTGATGGGGTATTGGGTGGGGTGATGGTGGTGGTGCTGTAAAATGCTCCTCACCTTGATTCACACTGTTGGTGTTTCCTTGGCCCTTCACCCACTACAGCCACCATCCGAAGCAGCAGATGTGGCATCAGCATTGATGAAGTGTCCTGTGTTATGTCTGGGTTACGTTACTGGCTTGGAGTATGATTTCTGATTTAATGTGGTATACAGGATTCACGTTACATGCTGGACATCACGAGACATTGGCAGAGCTGACCCTCCAGCTTCACCTGTGCATCCCAAGTTGGGAATCAAGGCTTGGACTCTGCTGACTCCACCAGTTGAGGCAGAAGGGTGACAGCACAGAGGGTTTTGCTTTTACAGCATGCTAACAAACATAATCACCATATCAGCAGCGTGATTGCCCACTGTGTTTGCTGGGAAAGACTGAGGCAAGGTCAGCTCTGTACCTTGGTTGACCCTGGCCAGGACAGCCAAATGTCAACTCCACCACGGGTTTCAAGGAAAGCACTAACATGTTTACTACCCTTTGGTAAAAATTTACCCTTCTTGTTGTCAGAGTTGGTTGTTGGAGCTGGCTTGGGACACAGAGTAGTGTTATGAATCACCACTGCCATTCCCCTGGCCTTGTCTCAAGTCCCATTGGGACCCCAAAGACCAGCAGAAAATGTCACGCATTCTTTTGTAGAACATTTCTTTTGAGCAAAGTAAGTCTTTAACTTCTAGAGACTTTCTTCCTGCATTTACTAGAGAATGGGTAGGGTGGCAATAGCAAGGAATATTTTAGGGAAGAGAATTTTGGAATTTCAAATGAGCAGCTGGGTCCCAAGGGTTAATGTTTCCCTAAGCAAGAGGACAAACAATATTGCATGACCTAAGGCCCCAATTGCAGCTTGACGGTGCTGTCCAGCCTGTGACGTATTTGCAGCAAATTTTTTGTCTATCAACAGGAACTAAAAGGGGGGTAAAAAGCAAATAAATAAGATCAGTGGTATTGTATCACTGGCTGTCCCTGCAGACCTTGCTGTACCGATAATCATTAACTCTCCCAAACTGAGAACCACTGCAGAGCTCAGGAGTAAAATATGGTATTTCTCATACTTAGAAAAAAAAAAAAAAAAGAAGAGTGCATATTTGATACTGCTTGGAGAGAGAAATGTCTGCAGTGTTTCCACAGCCCTTGGCCTTGTGGCACAGCCTGTGTGTGCTATGCAGAAAATGACCCTAAAAGGATGCACATAACGTATGTAATGACAGAGAGGGTTTAAACCATGCTTCAAGAAAGAAATACAAACATCAATCTAAAAATGTATTTATTGGGCTGCTAATAATGAACAGCGGTGAGGGTGGGGGGTGATGAGCAGTATAATGAAAACCTCGGGGTCTGGACACCATTATCCCATGTGCCCAGAACTCACATAGAAAAAAGTCTTGAGCATCCTCTGCAGGACCTCTCTTCCCTGCCTCAGCCAGGAGATGTGGCAGAGACGCCCCCCCAGACCCACAGACACTGATCATGCAAGCTCAGGTTTTGCATGCTCAGTGCTCCCCTGTGCTTTAAAAGGGAAATAAACGGGCAGCCAGTGAGGAGCTCAAGTCTGGCGTCAATGCTGGGTGGAGGATGTGGTGAATGGAGAATTTCCTCCCCGCTGATGCAGATCCTACAGATGCTCGATGGGACACTTTGGTGCCAGTCCCAGCCCTCCCAGTTCCTGGCCAGCTTCAGGCACCCAGGAACCTGATTTATGCTGCTGTAACTAGGATTTGAACCGGGACTTGCAAATATAACCTTTCCCCTTACTTGAAACAAAATATGTCAATCTCCTGAGCTTGGAAACCCATATTCTTGAACACAGAGCTTTGTCCCCCATCATTAGCACACGAACTGCATTACCTATAAAGTCTGCTTACTCCAAGCAAATGTTTCTCCATTTTTTCTTTCTTTTTACTTCAATTTGAAGTGAAAGGTACAGTATAGGATTCAAATGCCTTTGCATTACACGGGTTTCTGACCAGTCGAAAACCCCATGAAAATGACCTCACAAAACTGAAACGCTTGCAGAACTGTGTTGCGGCGTTCCACTCTGCCTAGCTGAACTTCCCTTTGATTTTCTTTTATTGCTTCACATGGTGCTTAGCTGCTACTTATTATTTTTTTTTCTTTATTAAAAATACAAACAAACAAAAACCCAACACCCTAGATCCTGCTTCAGCTCTCCCTACACGTCAGTATCCCTACCCTGTGGATGTCGCAGGAACATCAGGAATTGGCCAAGGAGGTGGAACTACGGAGCAGCTCCAAGGAAGAAGACAACATGGTGGTTCATCACCCAGTGCCATGTCCCCACTCATTGCCACACCAAAGGCTAGTGGCAGGGCTGCGGGATGGGAGAGCTAAGAGGGACCTCGCAGAAGGATTCCGAAATTCAGATCTGTCCCTGACAGCTGCTGGCCCACTTGCTGCAATCTGAACGGTGTCTCTGACTTCTCTTTGGCTCAAGGATTTAACATTAAGGCAAAAATAAGACACAGTGTAGAAGCTTCATCAAATCTTTGGCACAACAGCAACAACGGCAACAACAAAAAATGACTGTACACATGAGCTGAGAGGGGAACATTTCCCAGTTAAGCAAAGGGAAAAGTGCTAAATAAATTGCACGTACTAAAAGGTGGCTGGCTTAAAAACAATAAGAAGCATCCTTGTCCTTTTTTTTTTTCTTTTTCTTTCTGTTCCAGAGACTGAGAAAGTTCCTTGGCCAATTGTCATCTTGAAAAGGGGCTTCTGCACAAAAGCTGCTTGCAGACTTCATCTGGATTGTGCAATCTTTGCCAAGAACAGATGTAACTGGCTGGAAGCTCTTCTGAATCCTCCCTTCCCTGTTATTACTCCTGGAAAGAGAAAGATGCAGCATCAGAACTGTGAACATGTGCTGTTCTGGTGGCTCCTCACACAAATGGCCCTGGTTGGGGCCATTAACCCACAGTGCAACTGTTCTGGAGTTTGGCTTGTTGGGCATTGACAGCTAGGTGGGCAGAGTCCCTAGAGTGCTGGAAGAGAGAGAGGGAACAAGGAAAGTTTGGGAAGGAAAAGGAACAAAATGAGACATGTTGGCAAATACCTGCTTTGGAGAAGACCTCTGGATCCATTTTCAGAATCCGAAGTCAATCTCAGAATTACAAAAGGGAAGCAAAAGAGCTGGTGTGGCCCAGACCTGTGGGACCTATTTTGCTATTGTGGTTATCACATTTATTTCCACAGAAACAGCTCCTCAGCCCACAGGAGAGGTAGAGGCAGGTGTATGTGAGTAACTGGTACAGGTTTACTGCTGCCATCGTAAAAAGCACAACTTCAATGCGCAACACTTTGAGGCAGGAAAAACCTCATCTAAACCCCCTCTGACATTAAAATAAGCCCTGTGAATATCCCACAAACAATCATTAGCATACTTCAAAACACAGTAAAATCCTTTGGGCTCACTCTTTGATGAGGTCACATCGCAGTTGGCCAAACTGCCTTCATCACGTGGGCTCCTAAATCCTCCTTTAAGTAACTCAGGAATTTAGAAACTTGGAAATGGATCCCATTTTCTGAGTCCAACCACCGTTTCTTGTTTTTTGCCAGTGGACTTCAGAGCTTTCCAGGGTGCAGTGCGGCCCCTGACGGTCCTTTGGACACGGCCATCAATTCTCCAGACAGACCAGGCGTCTTGATGACAGTCTAAAAAGGTCAAACTCCTTTTGATTGACCAAAAAACATTCTTTCTCAGATCCATTTGTTGCTTTACTCTCTCCCCTTTTCTATTATTGAATTTTGTAACATTAAGGTACAAAGTGCCAGGACTCGGTAGGTCATACTGGTGGTTGGACTTGGTGATCTTGAAAGTCTTTGCCAACCTAGATGGTGACGTGGTTCTATAATTCTCTGGAAGTATTATGACATTGATGTTCTACTTTATTATTACTATAATTAGGGCTGCTGCCTGTGAGATGACCCATCCCAGGTGAGCATCCACAATGGGCTAAGGGGAGGGATGGGGATACAAGAGCCTCACTGCAAACCCTTCCTGCATCAGGCCTGCCCTTCTGATTGGCACACAGCAAATAAAAAAATGGAGCTCATCATGCTATTATTATCAATGACATGTTGTCTCTTCTGACTAACACACTACCTAGTGCTGTTCTAGGCAGGAAAAACCACCGTCCTAATTAGCTGGGACTCAGGATTTTGAACACACAGGGGTTGGGTGAGAGAATGACAAACAGACTTGTGTATCACAAAAGTTTCTGATAGGAAATGCCTAAAACTATTTTCCAACAATTAATTATGATTATTAATAACCTGTAATAGAAATGAGAGTTATTTAATTTTTGTCACATGGAAAGAAAAAGAAGAAAAATGAGAGGAATAAAAGAAGAAAAAAAAGAGGGGAAATGAAGAAAAAGGAGGGAAGTATTGAATGCTCTCATTAAGGTCAGGGCCCTGGGCAGCCTGATCTAGTGTGTGGCAACCCTGCCTACAGCAGATAGGTTGGAATTGGATGATCTCTATCTCTAATGTTCCTTCCAATCCAATCCATTGTATGATCCTATGATTAATATTAAAAGACAGTAGAGAGATGCATCCCCTGTTGCTGTCTGGAACAACAGTCTTAGTGAGCAAATCCCCCGTAGGAGCAGCCTCACTCTTACCCAAAGCCACTCAAGTCAGAGGGACCCCAGTCCTCCTCCTGTGTCCTGGGGGCTCTTGAAAATCCTGAATAAATAGCACCTGACACTGCAGTTGGGAAAAGCGGGGCAAGTAAGAAAATGGAGTGAGCAAAGGAGGGTCAAAGTACAGCAGCTTTGGGAAGAAAGATGTGGAAAGGAGGGTGGATGGAGGGAGGGAGGAAAGGAGGAAGTCACGGACAGAGGAAGAAATAGACAGATGGAAGGATGGATGGAGGGAGTTATGGAGGGAAGGATGGAAAAATGGATGGAGGGAATGAGAGATGGATGGATGATGAATGGAGGGATGGAGGAAGTAATGGAGAGAGGGAGGAATGGATGGTAGGACAGAAAGTAGGAGGGATGGAGGATTGAAGGGAGGCAGGGAGAGATGGAGGGAAGGATAAATGGAAGGAGGAATGGGTGAAGGGAGCCCTGCAAGGCAGTGGAGGAGCTCAGTAGAACTGCTTGGTCCCGGGGGCTCATAGGGGGGTGCTGGGTGGGAAGGGGTTTTGCCTCTCCCCGACCTGCTCCCACTCCAGCCAGCAGCTCAGAAGACAGATTTATTGAACAGAGTCTGCTTTAAACTAATAATCACAACTCCCTTGGCTCTTGAATTTGACAACTGGCCCAATGACCTTGGTGAGTTTGCAGCATCCCAGAGCATTTCAATCTCTATAAATCAAAGTACTGTTGGAATGGAGTCAACCTTTGTTCCAAGGCTTCTCCTATCTCCCCGAGTCACATACTCCTTTTGCTGAAGTTACCTGATAGCTGTGGGGTGAATCTCCCCCCCACGGTAGTAACTGGAGTAGAGGGAAACCTCTTGTTTTTTCTGCTCAAGCCACAGAGAATCCTCAGCCTAACCCCTCTGCTCATTCACATTTGCTGTTTGGGTCACTGGGGTGCAGGGGCATCTCAAAACATGAGCTATAAGCACAGGGCAGGGAAAACTCACATGGCACCCAGCTTCCCTACGGACCCTGCTGTCTTGCAGCCGCAGACAGGCAGATGGACGGGAAGGATCACTGCTCTCCTGCGGCCCAGCTCTTCCCCAGGGAAGCAGCCTGGCTGCCTGCCTGCCTGCAAGTGCGAGCAGGGAGAGGGAGCTATTTTTAAAGAGGAACCTCTGCTTGATCAGACTGCAGAGAAAGGGAGCTCCAACCTCATTACCAGACTCTCCCGGAGCACAGGACGGGAATCCACAGGGAAGAAATGCCGTGCAGATCACCCGAACACGATGCGGTAACACCATCTGATATCGCTATCAGGTGATCGATTGCCACCAGCACCGGGTGAGCAAACCAAGCTGGGAGCTGTGCCTCCAGCTCAGGGCTCCATGTAAATAAATCATGGATCCTGATGCAGGGTTATAGAAAAAATATGCTTCGAGCAAACAGAAATGCCATACAAATTAAGCCTGACGCTACCATTTCTCTTTTACAACCCCACTCCCAGAGAGTAAATGTGCTGCAGTATGTGGGAATAAACCTCACCTACAGCAGGAAATCTGCTTTTAGGCAAGCAGCAATGGGGCAGCACCAAGGCATGGCAGAACACCACAATAACTGTTTTATATAATGCAATAATTACATACATAACGTGAGCAATTTTGGTGCAACAGACGGCGACAAATGGAGCGGCGTTTCATGCCGTGGGTGCTCCTATATCATCTAATTATCAGGGAACATATATATAGCTCATCTTTAGTTTTAATTCCTTGTGTCTGTGTGCATCCACACACATACGCAGACCCCGGGACTCAAAAACCCAAGAAACTAAATTCCAGCAGAAAACTTTTATTGAGCTCCAACTGCTCGCCTGTTATTCATAACCCAGTTTCCTCTCTCACAAAGAGACCTTTCGCATGGTTTTCTCTTTTTTTTTTTTTTTCCTTCTGCCTCGCTAACAGCTGCTCGCAGTGTTGTATCCTGAGTGATGATGAGGTTCTGAAAGTGTTTTTTTGGAACAGATGGCCAGGAGAGAGCCGGGGAATGTGCCAGCAGCAAGCTGGGGAATGCGCCAAGTCCTGCAGTGACTGAGTACTCCGGGTTCCAGCTCGCGTGCCTTTCCCCTGCCCTCTGCCCCAAGTGGCGCCAGCAGGACTTCCCAGCTCGCGCTCCGAACATCTGGAGTCTGCGACTGCCAGAAGAGACGGGGAGGAAAGGGGGGGGAAGCCAAAAAAAAATATAACACAACCACCCAACCCAACCGCCCGGCCCTCCCTCCCAGCTCCGGCGTGGCTCCCATGCTGCTGCTGAGCAGAGCAACCGGTGGGAGGCAAAGAAGGGAGGTTTTTTGGGGGTGAAATACCCCCCCCTCCTCCCCCCCCCCAACACACACACACACACACACACATACATATATATAGATATTTTTTTTAGGAGTTTTCTGGTTGTTACGGGGTTGTCATGGTGTTAGGGCTGCCTAGCATACGGTGTTTTGTGATGAGCAAAAAGCTATGCTGTGCTGCCTGGAGAGTGGGTGGGAGCTGCCCTGTAGACATGGGGAGCACTGCTCTGTACCCCCAGCCCCAAACCCTCCCAGACCCCTTAATGCAGCCATTCTGCAGAGCATATGGATCATGTAATCACACAATCATTAAGGTCAGAAAGACCACTATGATCATCTAGTCCAACCAGCAGCCCATGCCCGTAAATACTCTAGACCATGTTCTTCTGTGCCACATCTACACTTTTCGTGAATGCTTCCAGGGATGGCGATTCCACCACCTCCTGGGCAGCCTGTTCCGACGCCTCACCTGGAGCATAGAGCTGCGATAAGTAGCCTGCAGCAGGACCCAAAGCCCCACAAAAACCAAGTGAGGCTTTTGGGGGACTCCTGGCCACCCGTGATATGTCCCCAGCTGGGACCTCAGATCCAAGCAAAGCTCCAACAGGATCCAGAGCTCAGCAGGGATGTCACAGTCAAAATCTCCATCACGCTGAATCATAGAATCATTAAGGTTGGAAAAAGACCTCTAAGATCACCAAGTTCAATCACCAACCCATCCCTACCATGCCCACTAATCCATGTTCCTCAGTGCCACATCTCCACATATTTCAGACACCTCCAAGGACGGTGACTCCAACACTGTGACTCATGCATGCACTGTGAAGGGCATAACTTAGTGCAGAGCCCTTTTATAACCAGCCAAAAGCCAGCTTTCAAAAATGAACTCTATCGTAACTTGCCACCTCCTCATGCAGCTTATTTTTTTTAGAAAAAGGCATTTGTAGGCCTTCAGTTACCCCTTTGGCTGCTTATAAATGAGATCTCCAATCACCAAACACCCTTGGTCAAATCTCAGTTGCAACGACTTAAATCACTCTATAACAGCAGTTAAGACTGGAAAGGGGAATTTTTTTCTTAGCTAAAATAGCTGGAGAGGCTAAAGCCAACTTTTCTAATTAACACAATGGAGTGGAAGGGGGGAAAAAAACCACCTATTAAATTTCCTATTGCAACAACAAAGTCTGCACACAACAACCTAACATTAGGGACAGCAGATAATTCACCCTCAAAAACAAAGCACAAAGCAATGCAGAATCCAGCAAATGCAACATCTGGAGCCCCCGCTTGCCAAAACAAACTCCCATCAGCTACTTTTTTGTGTGAGATGCTCACGGTGCCACAGCATGCTGCAATCTGCCAGGGAACTCAGGAGATAGGGGCAGGGAGAAACGCAATAGAACAGAGATGGTAGCAGATAAGGGCGCAGTACAGTGCGAATACCAGAGGTCTGCACTTGGGGCTTGCTGTGGTTTTTTTTTTTAAAGAAAGAACAAAAAGAGAACAGCAACAACAAAAATCCACCCTGAAGTCTGTAACTCAGAAGGAACTGCTCAGCAAGCAGTGGTTTGTGAGACCTGATTAAAACCACGCTCGGCACAGAAAACGTGCCGATTTCAGAATTAATGAGCATGCGGTGATTTTGGGCCAAGCCATTGTATCCTCCTCCAGCTGCCTGTGCGAGACCCCCCAGGAGAGACATCCTTCCACACCACCTGACATCCAGAGCTCCCATCTTTTCTGCTCAGCTATCCCAGATTTACTGCTCCAGTTTGCCAACAGCCTTCCCCCTCGTGCTCGCAATGCCATGGCTTGGCTTGAAGAGAAAGGGACACACCATGATAGGGTGACCATTTCAATCCTGTCTTTGCATCTCTTGTCTTCATGTCTCCTGTCTATTGGGATTTGCTGACTGCTTGAGGCTCCTCAGTGAACCCTATTAGTTTTGGCTCCATCTTCAACTGAATGTGCTCTGGCCATCACACAAGCTTAAAATAAAATGATTCCTATCAGCAAGGGCAACCCAGAGACTCTTGGGTTGCCCAGAAAATCCTCCACACAGACTTTCCAGTATGGCAGAACTGCATTTGCAAGACAATTTCTAGAAAGAAAAGTAAGGTAGAGCATGGACCAGGATGTTAGGACAAAACTTGTCTTTCCTTTTGGAGAAGGTATTTGGAGGGGGGTGAGGATGGGTGTCCTCAGATGATACGAAGCAAAGGCAGATTTTCTCCCGGTTATGCTGTTTCTGGGACTGGTGGTGGCCTCTGTGGAGGCATGATGGCCAATGTCCTGGGAGAGTTTCATTGTTCATGTGCTCTCAATAGGATCAGGGCTTTTCTCTGTACACGCGCTTTGGAGCAAAAGCCAAAAATGGAAGGTTTTTAATTCTTAATTTATTTTTTTAATTAAGAGTGGGCACAGCTCTAACCCTCATATGTGAACAGCCTGGGATATGGAGCCACTTGAAATCCAGATCCAAGTTTTCTGTCTTGAAGCTTGTGTTGGTTTACATAAGTCAAGACAATGAGACTCAGCCCATCAGGCACCAAAAGCCTCAGAGCCAGCCCAGTGAATTGCCCAGCTGCCATAATGGATGTTCCATTTTGACCAATGACTTCCTCCATTTTGACCCTGGAAGGTTGATCAGCCCTAGGACTCCACTCCCATCTCCTGCCCTAGGGCTGGTGGCGCTGCAGCAGTATTCCTGGGCCACCAGCACCCATTTCCTTGTAGTAAATCCTCAATTTCAGGCTTCCCCATACACAACTCCTGTACCTCCTTGGCCACATCTTGCTGTGCACATCTCACCTGGCACTACAGCTCTGGGGGTCAAAAATACAGCCTCAGGAAGCGACAGAGAGCATACTATTGTGTTTCTTTATAACCCAAACTTCTGAAGGATGATTTGTTGGGCTGAAAAAGAGGAAAACCAGGGAAACCTGCCCGAATCGGAGGCAGACCTTAACGACACCGGGAAGGAGCCTGCTCCCCAGCTTAGCTGTCCATTCATCCATTAAAGTCCCGCTGATTTATTATCCTGCATGACAAGCGAGCCCAGAAAGCAGGGGGAAGTTCAATTCAAGTTTACAAAACTCTTTTTGTCATAAAAGCCCGAACAAAGACATCAATCACTCCTTTAATTTACCCATGTCACTTTCCAAGAGGAAAACTGGCCGAGCGCTCTGCTTCCTCCTACGGCAGCTTGATGATGATTTCACCTAATTGGTTCAGCGTTAAGTAAGCTAAAGGAATGTGATGCGTAATTAGATTCAGCGTTGTTTCCTCAAGATACCCGCATGTCCTTCAGGTCATACATCTTCCTAATATGTTTATATGTACAACATCTCCATTAGCTACTTTTTTTTGGTTGTTGTCAGGCGATTTTCACAGAGATAAGTGTTAGATTAAACAAAGCAGAAATCACAGCCGGGCGGCCACGTTCTGGGCTCTCAAAAACGCTGGTTGCTTTTAACCAGCAACAGCCACAAGACAACGCTAATAGGATCATGTTGTGTTAAAACACGAGGGGGGGACTAACGAGAGGAAGAGCCTGGCGAGGAGAGCAAAGCTTTTGATTAGCAAGGAATGTGGTTATTACAGGATCAGACAGAAAAAGCAAAGAGCCGAGAAGTGGGAGAAAGACAAGGAGTAAAGAATCAGGAAAAATTCAAGAGGTTGAGAAAGGAAGGAAATAGCTTCAGATTTATTTTTTTTCCCCCTCTTTTGTAACTTTTACCGTTATTTGGGGGGGGGTGGAGGAGACTGTAACATACCTTCCTTTTTTTAGATCTTCCTTCTGCTTGTAAGGTCCTAGTGCACTGCTCCACGCATTCAGAGAAGCTCATGTTACTGTGGTCAGCGCTGTAATCCAGGTCTGCTAGTCTGGCCAGGGAAAGGATATAGTTACAGGCTATTCTCAAGATGGCCAGTTTGGACAACTTTTGACCATAAGAATAGCAGGGAACCTAGAAAGGGTAACAGGGAAAGAAAAAAAAATTAGGCCAGAAAAACAAAACATCTCGCTCGAAGCATGACAAAACAATTGTAGGTTATTTTCTTAGCAGTTTTTAACACAAATAGGAACTCTGCGATAAAAGGCCATATGGTCCCAACAGGTTTTGCAGAAGAACTCCCCTGCTGATCTCTGCGGGAATGAAGCAGCATGAGACCTCTCAATTTCAGCGGGGCAGTTCTGCTCAAAGCGTGATGGCAGGACATGGGATGCCTGCCTGCCGCTCAGCTGGCTTCTCAGAGAGGCCAGACCCTGTTTTTCTTGGAAAACCCAACCCCCTGTTGCCAGCCCCTTGAGTGACTTGCCCCGAGCATCCTCCCCATTGCAGCCTTTTGCAGTAAGGGAGCAATGCTGGCAGAGGTGACATGAGCTCAAACAGCATCACTCACAGCTTCCAAATCTGCTCTGAAATTCCAACCCACTGCCCCATGCTGAGCACCAAAGCACCCATCACTCTGCCTCTCAGGAAAGCATTATCTGATGTAAGTTATTTCTTTACCCTTGAAGATTTCTAGTGTAATGTGGAACATGCAAACGATTCAAATTAAGCAGCACGTGTCCAAATAAATGCATGGGATACAGAAGGTTGGACTGCTTTTATATTGCCATCCAGCAAAACGCTACATGTGAGCTCAATTTTAGGCACACAGCTTTGCTATGTCCAGCTTAAAAGAGAAAATCCGCTGAGTTCAAATAGGCTTGGGGCCCCGTCCGCTACTTTGCAAAATTGCTAAAGGTCATTCAGCCCTTAATGCACAAGAATCTATTGCCTATGGGAAACTGGAGCCGGGCGTTTATCTGAAATCCATCCTCACTGCTCAGGCTGTCTGAGTGCCTGTCAATCTAAGTTTTCATGCAACATCAATCACTGCAATGGCCGAACATCCCTCAACCATCTGCCTCCATACCAGCCTCCATCCTCCTCATCCCTCTACGGTATCACGCTCTGCTTATGGTTGGAAGTTTTAAAGCTTCTTGCTATACCCGTGCCTGAGCTTCTCTTTTTTCCACAGACACGAAGCCAGGCTCACCCCCGGTTTTACATAAGGTAAGAGGGGTTAAAAGGGGTTCTGCCTCTCTGCTGACCCCATAGCAGCTGCATGCAGGTATCAATGGAAGGGCAGAACAGCTCAGAAATATATAGCATTTCCCCAAGCATTCTGCCAGGCTCCAATAAATGCCAGCTCCACGAACCCAGCTAGATGTGCTTCCTTGGTATTAGCAACCCACAATAGATCTTTTTGTTCATTAATTTGGCACAGTAAGTTGAAACCCTGGCAATAGTAGCGCCCACAACATGCTTTTGCAGTTCCCTCCTCCTTCTCAACACCACAGCCCTCCTTTTGCTTGCTTTGAAGCTGGCTCCCACTGTCCTCTCTTCAGGTCCCCCAGTTCTCGAGATGAGGGAGCAACAGATTCATCTCCTCTGTATTTTCAGTCGTCCACCATCTATGGTTGGACTAGAGGATTTCAGTGGTCTTTTCCAACCTTAATAATACTAGCATTTATCTCTTTTTCTTCATCTGATTACTGTATTGTAGCCATCCTGCACCTCTGAGCACTGCTGTTGCTCTTCCCTGAACCCATCCTCACCCCAGTGTGTCCTTGGGGAGCTGGGAGAAGCTGAACCACATGCAGTATTCATAGTGTGGGTGCTCTCTGAGTTTATCTAGCTGATGCTCTCTGCTTCACCTTATAGTCTTTTTCTAATCACTCCTGATTTGATTTGTGGCCACTACTGGATACAAATCTGAGATTTTCATCTACAGAAACTCTAAGGTCTTCTTTCTCTGAGATTATGGTCAGTTAGTGTCTAACGTTTTCTAAGAGTAATCTGGTACAGTTTTCCCCATATGCATTGCTTTACATCTACATTCTACCTCTTCTTAGTAGAGGAAGCTTACTTTCCAGCTTGGTTTTGTCAGATGCTTCAAAAGAGGACTCTACCATGAAAATTCAGACCAATAACATCTCAGCTAGACCACCCTTATCCATGAGTACATGGATTTTAATGGAAGAACGCTGTTGACCCCATAGGCCATTTGGCTTGCACGATACATCTGAGATGCCAGCGGCATCTGACCTCTCCAGAAGCAAGCCAACAAGCTTCAAAGGGCCTTTTTCTCTATGTATCATCTGCTACTGATACCCTTGTGGGGGCTGGGGATCTATTTATTCTCTGGGAATACCCAGTGGGACCACTGCTTTGACCTCCACTGGCATTTCCACAGTGCTGCTATCACCAATGCAAAAAGGAACATACCATCCGCCTTCAGATGGTTATACCTGGCCCCCAGACGCAGCGAGCTGAGTTATTTTGGAAGCAGAGCTTTGGGCAACAGAAACACCCAACTGTCTTTCAACACTGGTGTCACAAAAACAGTGGAGATCCCAGATCAAACACCAGCACACAAGACAAAACCAAGACGGAAACCAAAATGGAAAGATTCAGTGAAATGTGGGAGTAAGTTCAGAATTGGAGAAAGGAGGAAGTTAAATCAAGCGGAAGGAAAAGCAACCGCGAAATCGTTGGGGCTGATGCACAGACACTGTCCAGCTGCAACACAAGAAGACAGGAAAATGTCTATTTTCCTCATCTGTTTTGCTCTCCTTCTTCTGTGTGTTGTTCATTATTTATTTGTTTATTTATTTATTTAAAGGAACAAAATAAAACCCAAACTGTTTTTTTTTTTTGGGCAGGCCTGCTACAAATTCCAAGAAAGATCTCAGTGTTAGCAGAGTTGACCAAACCCTCGCCTGGCGTTACACAACGCTTCTACACGATGCAGCAAAGTCCAAACTGGAGCTGCCCTGTACATACACAGGAAAAATTTCACCCCATGCAGCTCAGATACCACTGTGATGGGTGCGGGGCACCAACAGTAGGAGATAAGAGTTTTTGCCATGGTAACAGTGTTAGAATAACTGTTTCGTATGGACCCTCCCTGTCTTGGCTGGGCTCCTGCCATTTTAATGTTTCCTTTTGAATTAAACATGGAAAATTGAGAGAGGAATGAGCCACTTAATTCAGATCCAGATCTAACACTTTCCCAAGCAATGGGGGGGGGGAGAAGAGAGGTTTTGTGCTTTGGTTTCAGCACTTCTTAGAAGACTTCTTCACAGAGACAGCAGCAAGGAGGGGAGGGATCTGCCCAGGTTGGGTGAAGGGTGTCAGTAACACACCTGGATGCCAAGAAAATTCAAAATTCAACCAAATGGAGTATCTTAAGACACTGGAAAAACACTTGATGCCAGCAGAGCCACACAGTGCTGAAGACCTGTGCTCCACACTGATCTGTAGTAGGAGGCTACATGACCAGGTGTGTGCTGTGCTCCAGGTAAACTCCAAGTCCTCTCCTTTCAAACACCCCCTCTAGCTCATCACATCTGAACCCAGCAGGGAGAGCTGTGAAGGTGGGAACTGAGCAGTTCTGCTCAGAGCTCAAGTAGCTATGAATATTCCTTTTCTGACCCCATTGATTTCTGTGCAACTCACCCTGTTGCCTGCATTATTTGCAATGATTTAAAGCAAGCAGAAAGGAACTGCAAGTGAAATTTCACACTGATCTGAAGGAATGCAGCAGAAAATAGTGGGCTGGGACCAGAAGATGCTTGCTGGTCATGGCTGTGGGGTTTTGGGGTCTTATCAGTGACCCTCAGGGTGAAGAAAGGCAAGATGCATGCTTTCGAGGCATGTTACTGTGCACAAGAGTTCTGTTTTGGCAGGAAGACAGGATAGGATGTGATGTAACAGGTCCCTTCCATCCCTGACATCTGTAATCAGAGGTGGTGTCCTTGGAAGATGCTGCCTTTGAAGTCAATAGGATGTCTGCCAGGCACTTTACCAGCATCCACCAAAGTGATGATCTTGGAGTCCATTCTCACCCAGGCCCCAGCACAGGGGACCAGGGATACTCACAACGGGACTGTGGGGAAAACTGGGATTATCCCAGGGACTTGAGCAGCATTAAGGCAGTTCACATTGCTGAGCATCTGGCTGGATTGTGCTGTCACCATGGAAAAGAGCATGGTATAATTTATACAACAGATAAGGTCTTTAAAGTCAAGTCCTCTCTGGCTTTGCATTGCATTCCCCCAAAGAAAGGAAGACATTGAGCCCTGGGGTCCGGACCTCCTTGTTATTGTAACATAAGTGCAACTTAACACTATGGATTTGCACAGACCCCCTCCATATGCAGGTCATGTATTTGGCCCCTTGGCTACAGCAGGAAAGCTGGGGAGGCAGAGAAACACCTGTGCCTGTAGCATAGCATCAGCTAAGGCCTCCTGACAGCTGGCTCCTTCACACCATGCCATAAGCTGTGGCATTTACCTGTCTTGCAATTCATCTCATTTATTTTTATGCTGGGAGCTAAACCACGTCCAAGAGAGCAGCTGGTTGCCTCTTCCCCACGGCCTCTTAGAGGATTTCACTGTCTCATTGTGCCTCATGCAAAAACACTTCCAGGAGGTTCATATAAATGTCCAGTGCTTGATAGTCCTGGTGTTCTGACTCCAGTCCTTGTTTTGCTCATTCTGAAACGTCCTCTGCTTCTGTCCCCATCACGTTACCTCTCTGGGGATGGCAACTGTGAAGTTACTGGGAGCAGGTGGAAAGATTAAGTACTGACTGGTTTTGTCTAGAACATCATCACTTGTTTTCATAGAATCATAGAATTGTCTGAATTGGAAAGGACCATTAAAGGCCATCTAGTCCAACCCCCCTGCAATGAACAGAGACACCTACAGCTCCATCAGGTACTCAGAGTCCCCATTCAGCCTGACCTTGAGTGTATCCATGGATGGAGCACCCACCACATCTCTGGGCAACTTGTTCCAGTGCTCCACTAAAGACGCATTACTTCACGGATTTGGTGCTCACAAGGCACGGATTCAAACCCCGCAGGGCCAGATCCTGTAAGCTTTGTGAGAAAATGCCATGATCACAGAATG